CTGTGGCAGCTGCTCGTCCGGCTGGACCTGCACAGGACTTACATGTTGGGGACGGAACAAGCAGTAAGGAACTCTATAGAGTCTAGAGGCTGCGCTGGAGCGTACAACTCCAAAAGTCAGCAATATCAGTCTCGCCCGCTTCTCACACAAAGCACGCACTCCCTTTGCGATACTGGCCCACAAACATCTTAGACTGCGGCGACCCACGAGTATTCGTGAGCAGGAGAAGCCGCATTGCCACTCCAAGCGGCAACCGAGCAAAAGCCTATCAGGTATAGAGTCGTGCCAAGAAGACCTTCTTCAGCCGAATCAGCTGGACAGAGTAAACCCGAATGTGGCACAGTGGACAACGGACCATGAAGCCGTGCTGGGGATCTGAAACGTGTCCCTTGGCAGGAGGAAAATGATTAGACACTTCCAAAACCATAATGCGGGACTTTCGCAACTCATCCAAGATCATGCTGGACAGTTGAACCATGGACCATGCTGTTCTACCATGATCTAAGTACTACACGCACACACACACACACACACACACACACACACACACACACACACACACACACACACACACACATTGTCCCTCCGGAAGCCAGAGCAAGAGCGGCTCCAGGACCCGAACTTGTCGGAAAGCGGAGCCTCCCGTTGCCGGATGGCCGAAAAGGTGCCGAGTCGCTTTCCGGCGGGGCAGGCATAGAAGCCTCAGCTAAAAGTTGGGTTGCGTTTCAGGCTCAAGAGAAGGCCGTCAGGGAAGGACAGAAAGAAGCTGGCCAATGGATGGCTGGAGAGGTAAACAACTGGATCATGGATCTTGGCTTCCTTGTCCTGCTTGCGAATGAGCCCTGACCAGCAGCACAGCATCCCACACGCTTCAATTGCCGTGCAGGAGCCATCGCGGATGCACCATCCTTCAGGAGATTTGGAAGAGGTCTCACGTGGCGAGGTCATGGATGCTGGACACTGACAATGCCCGTACTATCGCTGGCAAGGCACTTTGCAACGGCAATGACGCTGCAAATCCAATCACCAAATCTATCTAGCTGTCCTATGCCCCACTGCTGCTGAATTCGATGCTGGATTGTATCCGTGCGTGAATGTCGGACTGTAGGAGAAGATCGGAGAGCGAGACGGTTTTACCGAACACCCACAGATCATCTGAAGCTGCCGGGAGCCCATCTGGTCGCATACTTGCGGCACAGTGCTGTTGACACGTACGCAAAGGGACTAATCTCTGATTCAACCCTCAGGGAAGAGGTTTCGGTTGAGCTTGGGACTGAACTCTGACGAAAGATTCGGGGAAGAACCGCCTGTCCTGTTGGATCCAGCTGACCATGCCAGATCCGGCCCTGCCACGCCCCCGGGTGTCGAAGCTTCAGCTCTGACTCTTCGGGTTTGTTGAGACTGTCCATTAGCGAAGATGTGTATTCTTGGCGGACTTCTGAACCCCTCCTAAAAGTTAAACTTTTAGCCTTTTTTATATAATTCATATAGAAACCCAAGAAGTTAAAGTCTAAAGAGCCAACCAGAAGAACGCCAAGTATTGGTACCAGTACCACGAATATGCCGTCATGGGCTCCTGGTTGCAGCCGTACAAGGTTTCACCAGTCCAACACGCCCATTGAGCACCTGGACCTGGAGCCGAAGTCTGAAGGACACGACCGGAGACCCAGAGCCCAGAGCCGCAGTCCAAGACCCCAGCGGTCGTTCGCCATCGAATGGCTCCGGAAGCTTCGATGCATCCATCGCTGGTTGCCTGCGCGCAGTCCGTCATTTGTGAAGCAAACCTAGCCTTCCCAAAAGGCCTCGCAATTCGAGGCCCTGCAAGTTCCAATAGCCGCTACCTGTAACCGTTGTAGCTGGCAGAGGGGCAGAGCCGGGCCTCGAAGCCGATCTGGACTCCTTCGAAACTCCTGACACCGGGAACACACGCGACCCACTCATGTCAAAGTCCCGAACCATATGCCATAGGGCCATAGGGTCCCATGGCTCGGACACCTACAGGGGCCTTCCTGTTCACCGAACTGCCCGGCTTCCGCACATGCCTGGACCGGCGTTTAACACACCTTTGAAAGCTAGTTGTGTAATTCCTTTCAAGCACAACCCTTATGCCCAGACCCTTCTCACGACGCGCCTGCCATCTGGCGCTTGCCGCCAACGAAACAAGTGGCAGCGGTCCTCCGGATCACTAACCTGCAGACCACAGCTGGATCGTGCTTAAAGTTGAGGACCGACTTGAAGGGACTCCTCAAGAGACTCTGAAATATCCCTCGTCATCAGGCCGCTTTTCATAAGCAACCCTCTCGAAGTTTTCTATTTTCAAGTTTCCTGCCGGATGTTCACTTTACATGGAAGGGCGGCGACGTTGCGCTCTTGGTGCAAGCACCCGCATGATCTTTCGTCAGGAACTGAAGTCGATGTTTGCAAGCAGTCAAAACAGCGGCTGATCTCCAGCTCCAGTTTGGAAAACATGGCACCGTGAGTCACAACAGAGGGCACTGGTTGCAATAAGAGGCATATCGACAGGACCCAGAGGCGGGCATTAAAGGAAAGCTCGCATCTTTCGCCTGCAAACAGATAAATATCCAAGGAACACAGGAGGAGATCTCACGGAAACGAATCCTTGCGGCAGCCGAGCGTCTGCCCAGAGGCCGGTGATGTCCTTAGCACAATGAAACAGAGACTACAGTAGGCCCTACACCAGGGTGGACTCGATGCAAAGACTCTGCGAACGTCTTGCAACTTCGTCGTCTGAACATCCCTTTAAGGCATGTATTTTATAAAACTGATAACACTTGTGGCAATGCCCTGAAAGAGCCGGCCAAGGAGCCGGAAATGCAGAGCCAGCGCTCCTTCTCTCGGGCTGCTGGCCCTGCGAGTCGCTTCTCTCTTGCAACCTGGCCAGGCCCGAGTCGTCTTGGTTTCGGCTAGACTGCAAAGAAGTGAGGCCACGCGATTGAAGACTCCTACCTTGCAAGCTGCATTCGGCCAGTGTTGGTGACGATTTCCATGTGCCGTTCGTCACGTCGCTAAGAGACAACGCTTTCTCAAAGCACTTCCCTGGCTCAAGGAAGGATTGCCGACCTGGCCCTCTTCGTTGCGGGTTCTGCCGCGTCCATGTTTGCCTGCCACCAAGTCCAACCTGCATGGGACGCAAGTGAGGGGGTTTTCCTGCACCAGATTAGATAGACCCTTCAACCCTGAAAAGACGAACAACATGCCAAGACTTCGCAGTCGAGATAGCGAGGCATCAAAAAGTGCCCCTCGGGCCCTGATGGGTGTTTCTTTACTTGATATATCACTATCTTCCTAAACAATCCTGCCCCTGCGAGTCATGTCTCGGAAATTGCTGAATTCGGTCAACACCACAGTCTGCCCCAAGGGCGCGCACCTTGCCTTCCGAGGCCAGGCTGTGCGAGCTCTGCTTTCGGGTGCTCCGACAAATGGCTGAGGAAACAGGGAATCAAGTGGTCGAATCTCGCAACTCGGATGTCCAGGTCAGGATTGGTCGGCGGAGGGACGACAACGAGACCAAACTGTTAGACAGAAACACATGCCTCAAATACTTCAGTTTTCGTTTCCGCCGCTCGGTACCAGGAACTCAGGCACTACAGGTTCCTGGACTTCCGAATTTCTAGGCGAGCAGGCAAGTTTCAGATTCAAGCACTCTATGCTGTCCCACATCTCGTCTTCAGTAAGTGCCTGCGACATCCGACTGTCCGACATGGCGAGCTAATCGCTCGAGCCCGAACCCCCACTGATTCGCCACGTGTTGTAGACACCAACCCCGACGCGCCCGGCCCAGCGGCCGTGCGGCCAATTCGGGTGATTGTTCTGGAGAATGCGATCCGTGGCTCGCGTGACTGAACAAATGGTGTATAGTGTAGTAGGGCTTCATGATCTTGGCGAAATCATATCCCGCGGCGGTGGTGTTGCCAGCAAGGTACACCACGGGGCTTCCGCTCGCCCCAGATCCAGCTTCTTTGTAGGCGACGCGACCCTGCCAGCTGCCCCCTAGCTCCTGCATGAACCAAGCCACCACGGAAGAATCGGCGGCAGGATGCGGGAGCATTCCCTGCATTTTCTGCGCCTTCGGAGAGTTGCTGGTTAGACGTGATGACCTCCATGACACCAAAGTCCGAGAATTCGGCAGTGAAGCCCTCATTGATGTAAAAGTTGAGGTCTTGATTGTGGAAAACACCCTGGCTGGTAGCAACCTTCTTCCTCTCCTTGCCCGCGAAGTCAAGCACCTTGCTGTTGAAACACAAATCACAAGCCAATCGGTGCTGCTCGGAACATAGGACATGACCCAAGTGCTGTAATGGGCAAGACCTGTGCGATGATGCCAGTGCCATGGAGGAAATTGGGATCATTGCTTGACAGAATGCGGCCTTGCGTCAGCTGCCCACCGCTCTCTTCCATTCTGGATTAGCATCTTTGCTCCTGAACCCAGCCACCATCGATGACGGCCCGACAGGATGAGGTAGTGCCTTCGACTGCTTGAGGGCAAAGTTGGGCACCGTGATCTTGGAGTTGCGGGCATCCGGCCCGTGGTATCTGAAGGCTTCGTGATCGTGCACCTCCGTGCACCTCGCACATCTCCACCGCCAGCATGCGCTGGACTTCTCTGTTTCGTGGTGGCCATTGTTGTAGATGTCCATCGTCTGAGATCAGGAAGAACCTGTAGTTGCCCGACATTGCCAGCATCGGGGCAAGGCCTGTGGAGAGGGATGCTCGAAAGCTTGTACGGCGAAACGTCATTGGTTGAGAAGTCAGGCCTTCAAGCAGGCCATGTGGAAAACTTGGGAGGGGAAGCATGACCGATGCCACGCTTGCTTCGCTACAGCAGATCCAGAAGAGGACTTGAGCCAGTCTCCTGTACACGCCCACAAGCAGCGACAAATGATTCCAGATGTGGTTCTCGACTGCACTCACCAGCGCAGGAGTCTTCGGTCTTCGCTCCAAGATTGCGGAAGAAAAGCAGAGGCGGTTTAGCTCCCGGCACGCGATGCGCTGCGCACGGGTGTGGGTGTTACGGACCAGGCCGGTGGAACACCTGGGGCTCGGCAAGCTCCTGCTACACTGTACCTACGTCCGGGATTCTGGACTAAACCATTCTACAAGAAGCTGAACTGTGTGTCCTGGGCTGCGCATGTCAATGCCCACATGGGCGGACACTTCCGGATTTCCAATTGAGGGGTTCTGAGGCGTGACCTGGAGCTTCATTACAAAGCACGGGCGTTCCAGTGAGTTGGAGCAGAGTGCTGCAGCCAAGGACGGCACAATGCGCTTGATGGGAAGCTGCCTTTTGACGATGAGCCCGGAAACTGGAGTTCGCAACTGCCCGGCCATCCCACCCCTGAACCCTGATCCACAGCAAGGTCCTCCACACTCGACGCCCCTGCTGCCAAGCCGCGTCTCCACTGCGGTGTGAGAGCGTCACCGTCTGCGACAGATGGCTCCTGCGACCCGCGCTTCCGACGTAAGGGTTGAGGTTTCGGGCTCAGAATTCCGCGTCCTTGGAAGCTGCCATCCGGAGATCCACCAAAGGTACCTCCGATTATGTACGTGCTGCACAGGCTTTGCAGCGACGGTTGCCAGAGGCCCGGAACGTGGGGGGTGGGATGGGTTGGGGTGACTCCAGCTGTCACTTAAGCGGCAGATGAAGCCCCAAAAATCTCTCTCTCGCTCCTTCGTTGGGAATCAAAACGCCCAGTCCGGCCCTAGCGATGCGCGGTGCACAAGATGAACACCTCTCCCTCAGCCCGGCAAAGCGAATCAGAACTTAGCCTAGATCATGAAACTCATGCCACATGAATTCAAGCCTGCGAATGGGAGCAGAGCCACTTTTGCACATCGATGCTTCACCAGCTGCTGTTGAGAAAACTGCAGCAGGACTGCTTGTGAACACCGTGCCGAAAGTCCGCGAAAAAACAAAACAAGCTTGCGATGCTAGTAGCTTCTATTTTGTCAATGTGCATGAGGATAGGCCAGATAGGATAGGTACATGGTTGACGTCAGCAGCAATTTACTTAGAGGGTGCGCTGATTACAGCCCTTCGAAGTCTCTGCGGTACATTCCTGGCACGGCCATGGCTGAGGTTTCCAGAGGGCAGCCGTGGATCACAAAAGCGGCTCGCTCTTGGCGGGTGAGGCGACCGAGGCTTTCGGCTTTCTGGAATTTAGAGAACCCTTTCCTAGACATTTCACCCGAAGCCAAGCAGGCCCGCTCTCCAACAAAATGCCCAGCAGTCGCCCCGTGGCGACACTCTGCCCCTGACCTGGCAGGGATTGGTTTGGTGATGCGGACCACTTTTAATCTTGGCGCTGCTAGAATGGTTGTAACGAAGAAGGACTCACAATGTAGGCATTCGGTAGCTGAGTTTCCATGACACCCGGTGCAGGCCCTGGACTATGCCCTGGGTGGGGCCTTCAGCATTTGCCGTGTCGACTAGTCGCCTCGTTCTTTCCGCTCCTGCACGGTCTCATGTCAGTACAAGAATCTGACTTGTATCGGATGATCACGTACACAACCGAACGCAAGGCTTTGCTGATCCTCAAGTTGAAGCAGTTTTGAACTCTCGAAACTAAGAAGGGGTCTCGAAAGACAAGCATAGCTTTCAAGTAGACGCTGCTGGTGCAGTCCTTCTCTGCCTTTGCAGCAAGCCGCTGGCGCACCAGCTCCTGCAGCTGGTCTGGTCGTCTTTCCGGTTCCCCATCTTCTGCACTCACGGTTTCGTTTAGTCAAAATCCCACAGATTATTCAGCACCAGATTGCCCTCTTCGGGGTAGACACAAGCAATGCACTGTACAACGCACTGCTTCAAGCGAGCCCTCGAAGTTTGCAGTTCAGTGAAGGGGCCCACTCGCGAGATACCCTGGAGGATGTTAGATGCGACGCTGTGGGAGCCTTTCTCCACCCAAATGAAGGGACTAACATAGCATGTTATTATCTATACCTAGTGTGACGCGGTGCAATATATAGTCATGAAAATACGAGATAGTATAATTGATTAAAATGTCATAGAACATAACAGACTGGCATATAGCATAAGTCAACATCATACACTCTAATTAACTTATATTATATACTGCAGAACACTATAATACACATACAGCACAATAAACCATAACATTATGATGAGCCACAAGATAACATGACACAACGCAAGACAACCCAATACAACATAACATAACATCTACGTAATGTAGCACCATGCAAAAGTTTATATCGTTGAGTATACTGTAATATAACATAACACAATATAATGCAACACGGGGCCTCGTCGGGAGGCTCGGGGCAGTCTCGGGATCGATGTCCGTACTGCTTGCAGTTGAAGCCTCAGCTTCTGCAAATCGTTTTGGGCGTCTTGGAAAGATAGGACCTGTTCTGGACCATGGGTCTACGAGAGATGTAGAAGAGTGCGACATACGCTGGGCATGTCGAGAAACCGACGAACTTCAGTTGTCATAGGGCCACAGTCTATGTTAGGCTCTTGGCTATCAGGCTGCCTGGCTACATTTCGAAAGCCCATTTGTGACCAGCACCTGAATCCTGTTTGTTACGGCTTGGACCCGGAAATGCGAATGGAACACAACTGCCTCCGCCACGAACCCGAAAAGCCCCACGAGTGTCCAGCATTGCTGCTCGGCGCGGTCCTTGTAGCCCTTTCCACGGCCCTTTCCCTTCTCCTGTGCTCCAGGCTAGGCGAGCTTCGGGTCCCATATATGTCCCATGCACAGCCGTCGAAGAAATGTTGGAGCAACAGTACACACATGAAATATGACGTATTTTGCGTGAGGCCGAGGAGCACCCTAAACGTGCATCACCCAGTGAGGTCAGATCGCTTCTGCTTGTTGCAACTTTCCAGTGTTCCCTGCAAGCCCGCACCGAAGCCGATTTCCTGAAGGATTGACAGATCTGCAAATCGCTCGGCCGTGCCCTTTTGCTTCTTTTCCGGCACTCCGCAGGCTCGTTTCTAGGACTCCCTGGCGTCTCAGACGCATGCTGGGAGACTGAACTCTTCATCTTCAGCTCCGTTTTGAAAGCAGGACTTCCGTCTACTGCAGGGGCCGGGGGGCCGTGCACGCCTTTGTTTTCGGGCGGCGATTTTGGAAGTGAAGCTGTTAATCTAGGAGGAACTCAATAATCCTCGCCACACCGGTTGTTACGTTGGTGAATTGCCGCTCCTCTAGGAGGTTACTCCATTAGCTTAGCCTTCGAGCAATTAGTTGTACAGGAAAGGGCTCTGGAAGTGTAATCGCGGAATTCGCATCAAACTTCACACACCGTTGCCTTACGTGCAGCCTTGCTGAAGCCTCTGCAGTCCTCGGTCTACACGCTCTACAGCCGACAGCGATCCCTCACTTGGCGTCTTTGAGCATTCCGTGCTCCAGAAGCTCCTCATTTGCGAACTTCAAGGCCCCTGGGTTCTGAGTGGCTGCCACCTTCCAGGGATTGAGGAAAAAGTCGCTGAGAAGAGCGAAAGAGTCAAGGTTCAAATCTTCGCATGCAGCGGTCAACCAAGAGCAATCGTCTGACCACAGGACGTCGGTGCTGTTGGGTCCTATCCTACATTCTTTTCACGGCCCGGAATGACGTTAAGCCGTCAGCCCGATGCCAAGGTACGGACCTTGAATCGAAAAAGACATCATCTTCGGGCGATCGCATGTTGCGCAGCACTTCGAAAGGAGACTTTTTCCTTGTGGGGATTCTGCCACTCCAGAAGCATCAGCTTCATCAACATCAACAGCAACACTTCAAAACAGCTACAGCAGCAAAAGCGATGACCAGGAGGCGACGACGACCCCCACCACGACCAGACCACTACGAGCTACAGCAACAGTGACTTCAACCAGAATTGCAACAGCAACAGCCACCCCGGCAGCACCAGCAAAGGCAGTGGCGGCAGTGGGAGCCAACTCTAGATCTTCCTACTGGTTCCAACACTTGCCGTGCACCATGACTATCACCAGAATTACCACCACCACCCCTACCCTCACCACGACTGCTAGTTGCACAATCACTACTATGCAGCTGCTACTTCTGCTGCTACTGCTGCTCCGACGACTAGGGCGAGGGCGTCGACTCCTACTAAATACTACTACGATAGATTCCGATAGGTCATGCTGCTACTGCAACTGCTACTGCCGCTACAACTACAGTTACTAACTACTACTACTACTACTACTACTACTACTACTACTACTACTACTACTACTACTACTACTACCACTACTACCACTACTACCACTACTACGACGACTACTACCACTACTACGACGACGACGACGACTACTACTACTACGACTTCTACGACGACTACTACGACGACGACTACTACTACTAGGGTTCCGCGCCTCCTGGCGCCTGGAAATTGTAGTTAAGCCAACTTCGACCCAACTACTTGCGTGGGCTTATTTTGATGATGTTGAGGATTATGATGATGATGACGATGATGAAGATGATCAGGTTAAATATGATGTTGAAGATGGCGAGGATGATGGTTATGAAGATGATGATGAAGATGGTCAAGTTCATGTTCATGTCACTGCCTTTGGCGATCATGCCCAAAACACCGGTATTTACAGCATTTTTGGCTCTTTGTACCACATGCTGCACAAGGATGTGGAGCAAGAAACGTTGTCACAAGCATCCTACTACTGCTACTGCTACCGGCGCTGCTGCGTTACTGCTTGCGGTCAACCATGTCGTTATTAGCCCGCCACCCCCCCCCCCCCCACCCCACCCCCCCCCCGGCACCCCAGCAAAACGCCCAAAAACGCAAAAAAACAGAGGTTATCACCAGGCGCCTGGAGGCGCGCATAGCTGCTACTACTACTACTACTACTACGACTGTCATATCTCAGCCTGCGGCCCAGGCCCCTTCAGTCGACCTGGCCTTGACCACACCGTAGTCGGCCCGCAGCCGCTCTGATGCGAACTGCAAGGCCAAGCCATCTTGCGCCACCGCCGCCTTGACTTCGGCGGTACAACACAAGACCCGCATTTGCTCAGCCGACACCCTTCACGAGCGCAGCAGGAATCTGCTGTTGATGCATGTGCTGGTTTCGACGATGTGTAGCTGCAGCTTCACCTTCGCCTGCTTATCCCTTGCAGTGGATTCAGTGAGACACGAACTACTTGCCCCGGGATCTTCTGACCCTGGCGAACAACTGCCGGAGCAGCTGTTAGCTGTGGTCGATCGCGCTGTATTCGTATCATGGTTAAATGCTCGTTGAGCTTCGATGAAGGATCTGATTTGCTCAAGCGCATTGAACTGGTTCCGCGTGCCTTTTGAATTGGATACCTTGTGCATGGAATGCCTTCCGCAAAAAGTATGTAACAGTATGTAGGTAGAACGACTATTGGGTATCGAAATCACCACATTCAGAAAAACTCTGTACTACTGCTGGACATATTTTGTTTGTCGGTGTCACTTCTGGAGACAAGGGAAGCAAGCGCGGTTTCGGAACAGACTTGTGTCTTTCGCCTGGTATCTCAACGTGCACGTTGAATATTTGGACTTGCTTGATTGAGCCATAGCAAACCTGT